TTAGTTTACCATATGTGCGGCCCCAAGCCTCGCGCCGCCCGCCAGTATACAAAATACAAAGATAAGTGGGGTAACGGGGGCAATAAGGATATATTATCCAAATTACTTGCTCTTCTGCTGCTTCTTTTGCTCGATGTAATTGGCGTTTCGGGCGGTCAGCTTGCGAGGGCGGCTGCGCCTCTTTTTATTCTTGGGGTACCAGTCAGGACCCATCGTCTTCTTGACGTTCGCCAGGCTTTCCTGGCGGCGCACTTCGGCCGAATCAGGTGGTGGGGGCTTTTCCTCCCAAAACTCAACCGCTTTTGGGCCGTTCTCTCAGGCAATACAGCGCCGCACGATGTCCCGCCCGCTGATTGTACGGAATGCGTAGCCGTTCTGCAGCTTCCAGCAGCAGACGCAGCGCGCTCGGGGGTCCGTCGTAGACCGCTGCGGGTTCAGCAGAAGCGGGTCAATCTTCGCCTCGCATTGCTTGCACGTAGGGCCCACAACTGTGAGTAAGTTAGCAAAATATATTGCTCTAACCAATTACTTGCGTCCAAATATTAGCCAATAGCACGGTACTGTAAGGGTGGAATTTATTCATTAGGCAAAATATTAAAATGTTTTATACTATTACTATTTGGCTTTGCTTTCATATTAATATTATCAGATTTATAAACAAATATATACTTTACATGCAATATAAATTGACTAAAACAATTATCTATCGTGCGCGCATGCATTCGTCGGGTGTAGTGCACGGGAGCAGATAGCGCAATGACCGTGCAGCCGCGCGCCTTCATTGCACGGTGACAGTGGTGAGTGCCAGGTGAAGTAAAAAAGATATATACCACAAAGTCCCTACAAAAAGCGCTGGTCGTGAAGCCTACTTTAACATTAAAAAATAATATCGTCTCTACCTTAGAAAATGTGTGGAAAATAGCATTGCCGAGCGCTTACAAATACGGCCTGTGAAGCTTATATTAATAATATTAATACTATTAATATCGTTTTTACTTTGAAAAGTGTGTGGAAAATAACATCCCTGAGCTCTTACAAAATACTGGTCTGTGAAGTCTACATTAATAATAATAAATATCTCTATGTGAGATGTGTGCAGAGCTCTTAGAAAATAAAGTGGTTACTGTGCCCGATTTGCAGTATCTGCGCAGCTCGCCTGGCCGTTTGCATCCAATCGATGCGTTTCGTGCTCGGCAGAAATGTTTACCTTACGTCCAATCGCGAGGGAGAGAGGCAGTCTGATCGTGCGACAGATCCAGTCAGTGTCGCAGGTCGGCAGGTATTGCCCAATCAGGGCGCGAGTTAATTGTGTCACGCTTTTGGATATATTTGTAATTTTAGCATAGTTAGGTCGAGTCAGAAAGATAGGCACGGTCGGTACGATGGAGGAAACTGTATTAGACAGGCCGACTGTAGTCATGCGAAAAGGCAGGAAAAAGCAGCAAGAAAGGAACCGGACGGACTGATTGACAGACGGACGGACGGACGGACAGACACGCTACAAGGTTAGAAGCGGAGCGACTAGCGCTCTGGGCGCCCGCTCCGCGGACGCTAGGGCATGATTGATTGGTGTAGAGAGGGTTGACCACCTCCGCTGCGCTGCGGTGAGCTCAGAAACCCTTACTCAAAGCAAAACTATATTTAGAATATAAAATATACTGTGCTCAAGTTATGTTGGGTTGCAACAAACGATGTACACAATATCCTTAGTGCTTACGTGTTCTACATCACCAATTGCCTGTCAGCCTACCTCTTGTATTATTTGAAGTCATTTTTGACAGCTTCACTTATAAGAGGTCTGCGTGACGACTGGCTGTTACAAATAGATACCCGCGTGATGGATGGCTATTGTTGAGCATCATGGTACAGGTAGACGTGACAGTAAACTATTGTGAAGATGAAGTATTCGCCGTTACCACCGGGGCTATAAGTCATCTGCATGATGAACACTGTCTTTCCCTAAAAGATTTGTCTTAATTCTCGGCTGAGCGCTTCGCTCCTGAAATGCCACACTTTCAGGTGCGCTTCATTGCAAAGTTACTTTCGGTTATTTAGAAGGTGGATCAGTATTATTGGTGCGCCAAACCTCAGCATAAATCGGTGAGGAGATCCCAGATAAGTTTAGCGCTAGTAAATACGACGACCGAAGTGTATTGGGATACAACGAAATCGGGTGAATTGAGTGACGTGTACTATTTGTCTAGCCGAGAGGTATTATATACCATATAGCTGATTGCGACGGTCCGTTAGAGCGAGTTTGTCTGTCTCTGCATGCATATTATTGTTTAGAGCCGCTAGTATCTGCCGAGGGTCACAGAATATACCAATTTCGCCTCTCTATATGCCTCGCTGAGCTCTTCATAGTATCATGATATCATTGAAGGGCCTGTACGTGATGTTCGCTGACTCGTATCAGTTAAATTAATAATAAATTTAATCTCATAACCCTTCTATGATAGGATGAACGCCATTGACTGACTTACCGACTTATTTGCATAGCTAATGATTATCAGAGATCCGTATATCCTTTCCGAGTGACATTTACTGGCTCCGATATGTATGGCGAGCATACGAAGCCACTTGGCTGTAGGCATATTATCAGATCGTAGTGATACGGAGACTTGTATCGAATAGTAGCCCGTGTACGTTACATAAAGTACTTTCGCTGTCTACTTTTCAGTTCGGCGTGCTATTTGATGTGTCAGTGCGTAGCTCATTTCGCAAGGTCTCAAATGGGTGTATATGCTATGCCCTCGGGATAGCCACAACCTATGCATAGGGTCCCTGTCGCTTTCACGGTACATTTGCGTCGTCGTGCTGGCTTACTGTGCTTACGCTTCTGATGTATCAGTCTATATGACCAAGCAAGTCACTTACTGGGCACAGGCCATACTGCAGCGATACTGGCAAGCTGACCGCGCGTCTGTCAACTGTATTCAACGCAGTATCTATGCGCGCGGCGGGTACACCTTATAGCCACCCGCGACTGAACCGAGTTCTTATCTCGACCATTATGGACAGGGGACTAAAGTATAGCACTGCGTACAGACAGTCCAACTTACCACACCCACCGGTATGGTTTGCGCTACCGCACACGTGCTCGCATCTATGTAGACAGCAACTTAATCGTCGTGTGTAGTGCTTACTCGATACTGTAGTCTCAATTTGTGAGCGCACATTAATGGAACATACGCTGTGAGCGCTGATGGCACAGATATCATGGTTTGTATGTATCCAAGTGAGCGAGTGTACTCTCGATCTATTGTTACGCGGAAGCAGATAGGGACGGTCAGCTTGCAAGGGTTCACAGTAGATACCGTGCGCTAATTATTATTTGAAATGCGGTACCCTCTGTAGATGCGTCAACACCATAGTCAGCTTACCGTATGTGCGGCCCCAAGCCTCGCACCGTCAGCCAGTATACCAAAAACAAAAATAGGTAGGAAAATGGGGGCCTAAAAGGGTATATTTACGTTCCAAAACAACACCGCACACAGTATCCTTAATGATCACATGTTATGGTAGACACGACCAGGGTTTAACGTGATCTGCAAGAAGAGCACCATCTTACCCGGAAAGGTTCTGTCTATAATCTCGTTTGAGCGCATTGCTCCCAAAATGACACGAATCGGAGGCGCGCGTGGCTGCAAAGCTAATATATGCTGTTCAGAAGACGGGTCAGTATCAATGATGCTTCGAAATTGGCATACATCGGTGAGGAACCCCAGGTTACCTGGAGTAAATATCCTACTCAAACATCTTACCATCTGCACGTAGGCAGTCGACACCGTATCTTTGATTGCGACGGTCTATTAGAGCACGGTTTGGTCGGCTCCTCGCGTGAGGTATCTTTTTTCAGGTAGTATTTGCTGATGGTCGCCACAAACACCAATATTATGCCTTGAAATTGTTCCGCTGAACTTTTTATGATATTACTGAAGGGCAATCCACTATCTTCCGCATACATTGATCTTACGTGCATAGCTGACGTTCTTACTGGCTTATTTCCGTAGCTACTGACTGACAGAGTGGCGTAGATCCTTTCCGAGTGGCATTTACTGGTTCCGATATGCATGCCGAACATAGGAAGCCAGATGACTGTAGGATGATTATCTGATCGTATACATCTTAGACTTGAATCGAATAGTAGCTCATGTACATGAAATGAAGTACTTTCGCTGCCTACTTATCAACTCGGCGTGCTTTTTATGTGTCCGGTCCTTATCCCGCAAGGTGTATATACCACGTGCTCGTGATAGCCAGAACATATGCATAGGGCCACTGTCGCTTTCTCGGTGCATTTGCGTCGTCGTGCTGGCTTACGGTGCTTACGCTTCTGATGTGTCAGTCTATATGACCAAGCAGATCACTAACTGGACACAGGCCATACTGCAGCGATACAGGTATGCTGAACGCGCGTCTGCTAGCAGTAGTCAACGCGATATATACGCGCGAGGCGGGCACACCTTATAGTCATCCGCGACTCAACCGAGCTCTTATTTCGGTCATTATGGACAGGACACCAAAGTACAATATTGCGTTCAGACACATCGACTTGCCACGTTCATCTGTACGGTCTGCACTGTCACGATGTGGTAGTATCTATGTAAACAGCAGCTCATTCGTCGCACGTAGTTCCAACTCAATACTGTGGTTTAAATTGTGAGCGCCAATTAGTGCAATACACGCTATAAGGGCTGATGGTACAGATAACATGGTTTTGCAGGCCGACTGTAGTCATGCGAAAAGGCAGGAAAAAGCAGCAAGAAAGGAACCGGACGGACTGATTGACAGACGGACGGACGGACGGACGGACAGACACGCTACAAGGTTAGAAGCGGAGCGATGTATGATGAGATTTGCTTTCAATAATCCTGTTTACCTTGCTTTTTTAAGTGGTCTGTACGACGGCGGCAGGCTTAATAGGTTGCGCGATATAAATCACAGTTGGATCGTTCGGGTCGACAAACGCTTTTTTCTGACTCTGCACAAAGTGTAGATCAATCTCCTCTGTAAAAGAAAACAGTCGTTAAGCCACTATTATATTAAGAGGGAGAAGAACAACGTCATCCCTGGTACCTTTCTTCTTACGCTTCTCCAACAGCCTCAGAAACACAGGCAGCACGACTCCAGTACCACCATTTGCGAATGTAATCTTCCACGAGCAATTCCCGCCATCTCCAACATCTACGTTCTTAACAGGGATGATCGTCATGGCAGTCAGTTAGATATTGGCAATCATATCATGACATCAAGCTATTATATCGTTTCTTACGGCAGCAACGAGCCCTGAAATGCTACAGGCGCCGAAGATCGGTTGGTTGAATTTCTCATCCGTCATCTTCACCAGCGGAATTTCCTATCGTGTCGATCTGCATCAGCAAAAGTATTTTGTTCCCCCCCCAAAGAGCCAACTGTGCACGTACAAAGGCCTCAAAGTAGCAGCCGTTCTGCGTGACACCCTTCTCGGCCACGAAGATGATGCGCTGTGTAGTGCAGTAGATCCGACCTTTGCTCTTAAACACAGCGTGACTACACTTGAGAGAACCAACTTAGTATCATTCTGCCTCGACCTGCTTGTTCATGGCCAAACTCACTCGGGCGTCTTGCACTGGAACGTGATCTTGGCTCGCTGCAGGATGAACAGCTCGTTCTCATTCGCCAAGGGCAACTTCTTGCCCTTTTCGTCCTCGAACAACTCTGGCTTGAAGGACATGATAGTGGTGGTGACTTGTGTTATATGTTTATTGCTGGGAAGAAAACGCGCCCAGCACGCAGCATCCCTTCCCGAAAAAGACAAGTAACAGCCACGCCAAAAAACGAGAAACAGAAATTTCGTCCAGGTGGAAGGAACCGGTTGGCTACATAATAGGCTCCAACTGACCTTACGAGCTACAGCTCAAGCCCTCGAGCTGCAAGTTTTTCTTTTCTCCTACGTTGCTGCTTGAGTTTCGCGTGTTGTGGCATAACTTCGACTGTAAGACTTGAGCTTGCTCGAAGCCAATTAACGACTGGCCTCTCCAGCGCTTCTCCGTTTCCTCCGTCCATCAGGACACCATTGCACTTTAGCAGCCTATTGGAGCTTTCCATCGCTCCTGCAGCTCACACTCTAACGCCATGTTCGTGAGTGATCGTATGTGCTCTCCACTGCACTGCGTGCTCTCAAATCGGCACCACTCCATCGGAATCATTCCTTGCCTCTCGCACCAGTCCCTCCTTTTAGTAAAAGTCGCTGCCAGGCGCACGAGCATCTTGCGACATGGGCATGTTCTGCGACTTGAAGTCGTGTTCGTATCCGAAGCTGTCCTGGGACATCGCGAACTTGTCGCTCGAGAGTTGACTGAAAGACTGCGTCTGCGCCATCTGCGTGAACGGCCCGTCCATCCCCATCGAGGACTGCGTCATCCCGTCCTGCGTCAGCGGTCCCATACTCCCAGGCACATAACTACTCGGTCCACGACGAGGGCCACGCTGCGGCGCAGGCGGAGGAAGACCTCCAGCAGCAAGCGGATCCAGAGGAAGACCCCCAGTCTGCTCGTAGCGAGGGTCAAAGCGCGAGTCCAACGGAGGAGCCGGTCCACGGCGATTAAACCCGTTACCTTCACGTCGAGCGCCACGTTCCGAGTGTCTCTGGACAGGAAACTGCATGTGCGAAGGCGTCAGATTGTTCAGCGGGCCTTCCATGATTAGCTGGTTGTCTCGGTAATGGTTCAGCAGCTTGTTCCAGAGCGTCTGCTTGGCCAGCACCCGTGGGTTTCCCAGTAGAATGACGCCATACTTGGCGCGTGTGAGGGCCACATTCAGACGCCGCTCGTCGCTCAAGAAGCCGATGCCCTGGTTCTCGTTCGACCGCACGCAAGAAAGGATGATCAGGTCCTTCTCTCGACCTTGGAACGAGTCCACGCTCGCCACTTCCACGTCCTTGTACAGCTGGGAGCGCAGCGGCCCATTGCGCTGCATGTAGCTGACCACATACGCGCGTTGGCCTTCGTACGGCGTAATGACTCCGATCTGCGAGGGCAGCACACCTGCTTTCAGGAACGTCGTGACGATCTTCTCCACGTTGCTCGCCTCTGTGCGGTTCAAGTAGCTGGTGCCCGAGGAGCTGATCTCTTCGGCGCCCAGACAAATGTAGAAGAACGTCGGTTTGTTCGGGTTCGGCCACGGGAAGTCCACACTCGAGAGCTGGCGCTCACTCGCAGCCACGCCGTTCTGTAGATCGCCTTCGTAGAACTCGTTGGACGGGAACTCGGACAGGAACGGATGCATACGGTACTGCACTCGTAGACGGAACGGGCGGTGCTTTGTGTCGCTCTTCACCAGTCGATCGAACAGCGAGTTGTTCAGGCCTGCTTTTGCCGCCTTCTTGTTCATCACCACGGGCCCCAACTGACGGTGGTCGCCCACCATCACCACGTGTTTGGCTCCTTGAACTATGGGGATCAGACACTCGGGTTCGGTGGCTTGAGTGGCCTCATCGATCAAGACTTGGCGGAAGCGGAAGTTCGACAGACGCGGGTCTCCTGCCCCCACACACGTGGTACAGATGACGTCAGCCGCTTGCAGGATCTCGCGCTCTGCCTGCCGCTTCAGAGACTTGAAGCGCTTCTCGTCTTGAGACGACAACTCGCCGATGTCGTCCTTCAGCTGCATGAGCTTGCGTAGATCCGCCTTATCCGGCGAGTCCAGAGACTTGATCATGGCATGGAGCGACAAGTGTTCGACCGAAGAAGCCACCGCCTCTCGACTCTTGGCAGCCAGACGCACCACTCGAAGACCCGTGGCACTGATCTTCATGGTCAAATGATCCACCGCGATGTTACTGGGCGCGGTGACGAGCACTTGGCCCATGTTCTGCTTCGACATGTGGAACACAATCGACGCCGACGTGACCGTCTTGCCCGTGCCCGGAGGCCCTTGGATCAAACTCAGCGGCTGCTCCAGCACGCCCTTCACTGCTTCCATCTGGAACGTGTTCAACTCGGGGAGGCCAGGTGCTGAGAAGTGGGTGCCCACCGAGCGAGGGATGCGCAAAGCCTGCACTCCAACGTCATGGCCCAAGATCTTGTGGTACAGATAGCCCGTCAGCGACGTGTCGTCCACTGCGAACGTCTTCATCGCCGCCTGCATGCGGTCAAACGACGTGGATTTCCACACAAAGTCCACCAGGTATCCGTCCGTGATCTCGATGGGCACGTTGCTGCTCCGCATCTCCAGCGCCACTTCGGACTCCTCCAGTCTCAGCACATGGCCCGTGCCTTCCCAGTCTTTGCCGTACAACATGCTGGCAGTGGCGCCCAAGCGGAGACGGATCTCATCTCCCGGGACAAGTCTCAGATCTGAG